AGGATGGTTGGTGTAGCAGTTTATAACTGCTGTACCAGCTATCTTCGCGTTTGGACTTTATTACCACTTAACATCAGGTGGGGTAGAGTTATTTGCCTACCTGGCCATAAAAAAAAACGAGCGCGCCTTACAGTAGTCGCGTATGATGTGTAACATTTGAAACCTCACTTGATTTAGATGTTAGATTAGTAAAAAAAGAAATAAAATCTACTACAAAAGGAATAAGCCATTTGAACATTATGTTCTAAAATCAAATCAAATAGCGCGCTTTCGCGACTTCCAGTTACAAACTTTCTTGCCATTTCACGAAATCACTCCCACAAATTGTAGGAAAGCGAGAGGAAAGATGTTACACATCAAAAAATAATAATAATTGATGAATGAGTAAAGAATGACAAGAACGGATGGATGCGTAAAGTATGAACTAACTAACAACGAAATAAAAACGCCCTTATCACTAAAGTACGCAAAAGCCATTGTTCATTTGCCTTTACTGTATTAATAATAGCATAACATTACCTACGCCCATCAGTAATATATATTTGTTTCTTAGGTTTTCACGCACATGACTCATTAAATAAAATTAGTTTTAACGGGTTAATGCACGAAACTTTATTTATTTATTGACGTTTCGCAGCCTTTTCAGGTCTGCTTCGTCAGAATCAGTAATATATATATACTCACCCACAGACTCCATTTACAAACCTATACAATTTACAAGCGAATTCAAATCGAGTTCACGCAGTACCAACATCCAATACCGACATTATATTTTTTCAACGGACAATAACACTTAAAGATATTGTAATAGAGATTATATTCGTATCTAGTCTCGTTAACAAGGGCTGGCGTATCGAGGATCTACTCGTTACGTTAGTACGACACGTCAATTGTGGTATGTGGACACTTTTATCTATGCAATCTCCGAAGTCAATTGAGAAAGCGGATTTTATTTGACTACCTTAAATGTACTTGCGTATAAACGATGCCATGCCAATAAATTGTCCTTTTTATTCATTGGGTTGTCGTTTAAGTTCACTGGTGGTTCCTTAGCTCAGTTCTAGATTATGATAATGACTGATAACATTGAATTTTTCCATAACATCAGCGTGATTTGGACATGTACCTACTGTGGTAATACACGCGCTGCTTTTGCACTATCATTGCACAAGTTTTGCACTGTCATTGCACTGGAGTTGCCCCGTCATTGCACCGGTATTGAACGGGATCAGTACTACAACAATAGCCAGAAAAAAACGTCTTGAAATAAGATTGTAGACTCTACTATAAGAAGAGTTACTATAGTAGCTAGGCAGGGTGGTTATTTGTCCAATATAATTTTTGATATGCGTAACGATTGGAATTGTAAAAGTCTTTGAAACTACTGAACATTGTAAACTTTAATTGGAGAAGACTGAAAATATTAATTTAGGAAAAACTTGTGGTGGTTGGGAACACCGAAGGCAAAAGGTAGCGCGGTCGTTCTACAACCAGATGGACCAACCACACAATAGACCCATCCTCGTCCAAATTAGAAACGGCTACATTTGTTTCTTAGGTTTTCACGCACATCACTCATTAAATAAAACTAGTTTTAACGAGTTAATGCACGAACTTTATTTATTTATTGACGTTTCGCAGCCTTTTCAGGTCTGCATCGTCAGAAAAAAAAGTCAAATCCATAACTTTAACACGAGATTTAAGAACGAGTTTGCCGTTCCATGTTTCAGACTCCAAAAATCAAGAAGTTCATTTCTGGGTTGTAGTATTGCATTGTTGACGTTGAGCCGACCCCCGCAGGTTTGAGTGGTCTAGAGGCTCCAGACGGAGAGGGGGATCCCCCCGTGGGGAGACGCCATCCACCTGAAACACCTCTAGAGGCACTCGCCAATTCTCGGCTTGAGGTCCCCTTAGGATCTCGCCGTCCCCAAACCCGGTGTCGCTGTAAAGGTCATCTGCGACCAAGAGCACGAACGAACGAGCAAGAACACTCAAAAAAAAATACACACACGCACGGACGCACGCTTCTGTAAATAAACATTCAATCGAGCGAGCAAAACTCAACGCAGCGCGAGCGAAACGATGAGTCTGCGTCGCTTAGCGACTTCGTTTTGTTTTCTCTCTCTGCAAGCGGCTGAGCTATATTGTTGTTCTTTTCTTGATAACAATTGGCGAATAATTAGTAAGTACATTCACGACAGAACGAGATTTTTTGAGAAAAAAATTATTTCTATAGTTTTACGAACGAGAAGTGTTGCCGTGGAATTTGTTATTTGATCTTGAACTATTGGTTTTCTTTTTAAAAGCATCGGCTTTGTTTAATCTTTATAACACAGAATATAGGCAATATTGTTATCATCATCATCATCAGCCTATTAATGTCCCCACTGCTGCGGCACAGGTCTTCCCTGTGGATGGAATAGGGAGATTGGACCATGACCCACCACGCGGGCCCAGTGCGGATTGGTGGGTGCTAACGACTGCAGATGCAGCCGGGACCAACGGCTTAACGTGCCTTCCAAAGCACGGAGGAGCTCAAGATAGTAAGTTTTTGGTCAGCCATCCAATGACCGACCACTGCGAAAGTTGCTTAACTTCAACGATCGCAGCCGAACGCGCCAACCACTTGCGCCATCGAGCTCCTCGATACTGTTATATTGAGTACATATGCAGCGAGTTTGGATGTCAAATTGTGATTAAAGCGAATTGTGTTCATGTAAGTACCACAATTTAAGCGGTACACTTTTGAGCAGCAAGTGCCGTATCTTCCCTATTTTTTAATCTAAGGTCGTATGCCTTATTACTGTGCCTTATTTATTTATTAAACCACACTCCTCTTACCTAACATTAAAATAAATGAATTAAACTTAATCTCCTAGTACCTAACAACTATCCTCACTCCGGTATTCTGCTGGGCAATCAGCTAAATTGGCTGTGTCCGTTATTTGCAATAATTAAAGTAAGTATTCACTGGCAAGAAAATAATATGAAGCTATCTTAATAATGTTATCGTTGCATTTTCTACTCTAACCCTATGAGTATAAGATACTCAAGTTTTTTCTGATAATGCCTCTACATGCCGATCACAGATTGTACTATGTATGTAGCTATATAAGTGACTTAATGGCAAAAAGTAGTTCTACCTAGTTCCATTGCTAAGTGGTTTGAATTAAACTAGAAGGAATGCAAAAGGAATCTCTAAGAAATCGCCTGAACAATTTTTAAGACCAAATATCGATTTTTAAAAGGATTTCTGTAGTCTAAAGAAAAATTTACCAGATAAAAATCTACTCCGCCCAAGTTTTAGACATGGCGTGGTTTTTTTAGTAAAATTTTCTTTAGATTTAGACATGTAGCAGTTAAATAATTATATTCTTTATTGCACACAACAAAGGACACAAAACATAAACTTACTTAGTAAAATGATTAGAAGTATCCTCATTTAAAAAAAAATACGTGTGGCACTCTGGGACTGTCGCGGTAAAGTTATTGCATAGCATTTTTTAGCAACTTATGCAATTTTAATTATTTATTTATCTTATTTATGCAGTATTTTTTCTTTGATATTAATTCAAGTTTTTTCTTTGATATTAATAGCGCTTATGATATTTTATTAGGCAACCACAGCAAACAACAGCATTGCCCGGCGCCAAAAAACTTCCACAAGCTCCACAGTTTACCACCTTTAGTCCAAAAATTTATATTATAACTATAAAGTCTAAATAAAAGGGAGACAAATAAAAATAAGAACAGGTGCTGGGGTCTAAAACAAATATTTAAAAACTAGTGGCCCGCCCTCGCTTCGCTTCGGTGTAGAGCTGTAGTGTAAACTATAGTTTTTGTTCTCAGGCTTGTGCTATAAATAATGACTTTATTTATATAATTACACGTGTTATTGTGAGTCAACCATAAAAGATAGACATATGCTGTTGCGTGATATTTTTTAGACAATTTTATGTAGAATATTTCCGTCATACATGATTTCTATGTAACTTTAACCATTAAGGCTGCACCCGCGACGGAAGCTTAAAAAATGGAGTAACTTCTCCCGTTTTCCCAACATTTCCCTTCACTACTCTGCTGCTATTGATTGTAGCGTGATGAAAAGTATACTATAACCTGCCCATGAGTATGAAGAATAATTGTACCAAGTTTCGTTAAAATCCGTTGAGTAGTTTTTGTTAATACACACAGACAGACAGACAGACAGACAGACAAAAATTTTACTGATTGCATTTTTGGCATCAGTATCGATCACTAATCACCCCCTGATAGTTATTTTAAAAATATATTTCATGTACAGAATTGACATCTCTACAGATTTATTATAAGTATAGAAAAGGAAAAAATAATAAAAAATACGAGTGCGGGATTTGAACCGACGACCGCGGTGATGCGTTGAACGTTGGTCCCGTGGTGAAAATTTAACACACTGCGCCGTTTGATCGATACTGGTATGGCGAAAATTGTGTTCTATTGGTATATGCACTCTCGTAAGGTTATTTTCGTTACTGAATTTCTTGATTCGGTCGCCGCGCTCAAAGGCCGCGATAAAATCTATGCAATAGACAAAGCAGGAAGTTTAAATGCATAAAATTAAAAAAAAAATCATACTACAATATGTGTTTTAAAAAAACAGGTTTTTTTTTGGAAATAAAACTTAAAAGTGCGGTGATTTTTCTGGAGTGTAATATTGACAATTTCAAAACAAAAAGTATAATTATTAATAACCATAACTTCGTTACAAGAAATTGAGATATTAACATTTGAAGCGATTTCAAAAAAATTACAGCACAACAGCACTACAACAGCGATATTATTCTAACACCACAACATAAACTACAATGCCGGTAAGATGTCTTTGTCTTTTATCAAATTCAATATGACTTAAACAAGATATTCATTTTATATTCATGTATATATATCGGTTTCGTCATTGCAAATTCAGCATTAATTTGTATTGAATCCAATACAACATAAAAATTCTTGTTAATACTTACCCAACAAGTTTATACATTGAAGAAGATGGCGTCTCTCTAAAGTCCCGTCACGTCGTCAGCACGTCACATCCTCGTCTCGTTACTGCAACAATTACCATATACATAGTTAGTTATTGAATTCAAATACGTATATAATATACCAATGGTAATTATTTTCATACATAGCTAAAACGATTTCACATTCCAACATAGCTTGCATTTAAAGGTACTTTTAAGGATATATTACACAAAAAAAATGTATCAGAGCTATATGTAGAACTCCGCCTGATGAACCATGCAGACCATTATTTAAACATTTAAAAATATTACCATTGTCTTGCCTATACATTTTTGATGCTGCTAAATTTGTAAGGTAAAATATGCACTATTTCAGGCAAGCTGTAGATATATATCCACGTAATACACGAAATGGTAATAGATTGGTTTCTGCAATCATTCCAAAAAGCATGAGATTCAAAAAAAATTGTTATACATAGTATGCAAATTTACAATAAGTTACCAACTTATATAAAAAAAATCCTTTTAAGAAATTTAAGACTGCCTTGTACAGTGGGCTATATGATAGGATGTTTTACAGTGTTAAAGAATATTTATGTAATGATTGCAGCTAGTGACAGTAGGTTTTAGGTTTTATTATTTGTATTCTGAACTTGGTTGACATTTTTATTCTATTGTATTCTGATTGACATTTTATTCTATTGTATTTTGTTTGACATTTTATCCTATTGAATTTTGATTGTCATTTTTTTCTATAATTGACATTATTAATCGACTATCTTATATACATAATACATAAATTAAGATAGTTGTAATTTTGCTGACGATAATATAATGTAATTCGCTTTTAAGAATTTATTAATTACTACGTGCTGCAAGTTTCTGAAGATGATATCTATCTATATCTATATATATAAAACTCAAAGGTGACTGACTGACATAGTGATCTATCAACGCACAGCCCAAACCACTGGACGGATCGGACTGAAATTTGGCATGCAGGTAGATGTTATGACGTAGGCATCCACTAAGAAAGTATTTTGATCAATTCTACCCCCAAGGGGATAAAATAGGGAATGAAAGTTTGTATGAAACTTTGTCAATTTTAAACCGATCGGGCTGAGACTTTGCATGCAGGTATAAGAAGAATCATAGATGAATGTCATTGTGTATAATACAAGCCTGAGAACAAAAACTGTAGTCTACACTTCAGCTCAGAGGGCGGGCCGCTAGTATCACTATAAGATGATTTACAGATCACTACTTCCAGATTAAATTCCAAATTGAAAGATTCATGTCAATGTGAGGTCATTCTTTTCAAGTCGCAACTTAAAATGAAACAACCACTAGATTTATTCAAAACTACGCATTCAACATAACTGTATGTATAATCCAGAATACGAGTAAGTACAATCAATAAGCAAAAACACCTACCATTTGCTTGAAGCCATCAAATTACACCCACGACATGAGCGTGCCCTATTAGCGCTACGCTATAAAGTGTCTAAACAATGTATCAAACATTGTAGGTGCATTTGCAAAATTGTGTCGTTTGACAACTCGATTTGCACCTCATTGTAAACTCAGTTGAACAATAAAATTTACTGTATTCATAATCAATGGGCGAAGAATAGAATCATAATAAAATAATGCAGTGACGAACTGTATTACTCATGGATAAAACTTCTTAGAACACCGAGATTTTTTATTACAATTACAATTACAATAATATTATAAAGGCGAAAGTTTGTGAGTGTGTATGTTTGTTACTTCTTCAATTGCAAACGGCTAGAGCGATTTTAATAAAATTTGGTATGGAGTTAGCTGACACCCTGGAATAACACATACGCTACATCTTACTGCGGGAAACCGTTGCCTACGTATCCTATATATCCCTAATAAACTGCGGACAACACAGCGGGGCACAGCTAGTAATGAATAAGGCTAAAAAAATTGTGTGTGTCAGCTCCGACGCACGACTGGAGTTTACTCCTTAAGTTCGATAGTCTAACCAGACGCAAAAAGAGTTTATTTAACATAAAAAAGACTGATACTGTATGAAAGGGTAAATTAACAAATTAATGAAAATAATATACATATATAAATATATATTTATTCATTTCATATACATTTATTATAACTAATCGACGAAATATTTTACATTAAACTTTTTACAATAGTCAATTTCAGATGTGCATAAATATATCATTAGGAATGTTGATAAATTATGTAATTATTATTTATTTATTTATTTATTTATACTTTATTGTACACCAACAAACAATAAAATCACATAAACAAAAATATACTAAAATTGGTACAATGGGCGGCCTTATCGCTGTTTGCGATCTCTTCCAGGCAACCTTAGGATGGACAGAATCAGCATGGAACAAGTAACTTAGAGGGAAGTTGGCACAACATGAGATACATATATACAACAAACACAGAATAAACATACACACATATAACATAATATATTAACCTACATACAATTTACATACATATACTACATAAACAATAGTACACATACTACATACGCAATGTTATAAATACAATTTGGAAAACATGAATGGTAAACAATAGCAAATTAATAATAATAGAAGAATCTATACTACAACAGACAGTGACAGATAGTGATCTTTTACTAGACACTTGAAAATGTTCAGAGATTTAGCACGTCTTATCTCGACCGGCAATGCATTCCACAAACTAACAGCATGCACTGTAAACGACTTGTTATAGAATTTTGTATAATGCATTGGAGTCTCCAACCTCAAATTACTAGATGATCGCAAATCTCGTGAATGAGCGTCCTGAAGGAATGTAAAACGTCTTATTATTATCAGACTATTATCGTTTTTATAAATATTAATTAAATCAACATTGTCTGCATTATTAATTACAGTGGAAAGTGGTTTATGGTAACTAAAATAAGACACATGGATGTTCGTAGATACGTGGTTCACGAATCTTGAAAATACCGCATCAATGGTTATACCATACCTCGTTGTCCCCATTGCTCTATCAGAAACAATATCTAAATTCAGTTCAGATTTTAAAATTTTTATTAATGTCAATCCGTCATCTTTGTTTGTCAAAGTTGCGCGACATGGGATGCGCACCAAAAACGTACCGAGGTCATTCATCGATAGATTTTACTCCTCACATTTTTCTCATACCGGGCCCCTTATATATGCAAATCAATTCTTAAGGAGTAAACTCCAAAAAGTTACACGTTCTATGCAGGGTGTTAACGTCAGGGTGTTAAGTATCTCAAGATACTATTTAACAGCTTTTATAAGAACAAATTTTATAAAAGTGTGACGGTACATATAACCTTGCTGGTAAAAATGTTACGTTTCGAGTTTTTACGACGAAGAAATGATATGCCTAATTTTCTAAATCTTATGAGTCACAGCACAGTAAGCCGACAACAGCACGCGTATTACGCTAAGAAAAAATAGAAGAACAATATATAGGCTGTATGAAACAATGGCACAGTTGGAATGGCTAGCATATGGCATTATGAAATGGAATGAAATGTAATAATTTATGTTTTGATTTTTTTAAGCATTTAACTGCTAGATGTTTAAATCTAAAGAAAGGTTTTTACTAGAATAAAATCAGCGGACGGAACTCGAACCCGCACCCTTCGCAATCCGGGCGAATGCACTGACCAATTATGCTACCACAACCCTGATGGCCGCGTCGAAATTTTCCTAGCCTTAAGCTGCAAGGCAGCGCTATCTCTTCGCATTGTAGTTAACCCACAATGTCGAATTGCGAAGGGTGCGGGTTCGAGTCCCGTCCGCTGCCTGATCTGCGTGAATTTTTTTCTAGTAAAAGCTTTTCTTTAGATGTAATAATTTATTTACCGTAAATAGAGTAGATTGGTTGCATCAGATAGGTTGGTAATCCAAAACGTTGTACTTAGGCCTATTTAACCATTTTCAGTGGCATGCAAATATTAATTATTAAGTCAGTGAGTACTTTATTCCTTTAGGTATTCTTCTGAGATTGTCGACGTAGTCTGTAGTCAACAGATGTACTAAATACTTAGATTGGAAATCCGTTATATTTTCGCTCCACAATATGACACGGAATAAACTGTCCATTGTTTTGTGCACCTGTAGGTATACGCCATAAAAGATAGTTAAGAAGACACAATTCGTCATCACAACCCCTTTTGTATTCACATCAACACCTCATTACAAACAATACAATAACTGACCAATTCATGAATGTAACAGAAAAAAAAATATGATTGACGTGTTTGAATTGACACCGTCTTAAATCGCCCCACGCGCTCACTGGCTCGTCGGGCTTACCATCCCATCATAAATACCTAAGCATCAGTATGTGTCAGTTAGTGTTGCCGATCGATAGTCGACTATCGATGATTAATCGATAGTCTATCGATAGCCAACCAATCGTATGACAATCGATCGGCTTATCGATACTATCGATAGCACAGAAAAAGCCAATACTATCGGATGAGTTAAATACTATCGATACTATCGATAGTATTGTAGTTCGTTAATAACAAACTATCGATAGTATCGATACTGTCGATTTTATTTGCAACCATACTATCGATAGTTTAACAATTTGCAATAGTATTGTTAACAATTTTAAGGTATTATAGTCAATCACAAACTTTAGTCTAGAAAAATCGCTAGTAGCGATACTATCAATAGTTTGTTATTAATGAACTACAATAGTATCGATAGTATCGATAGTATTGCACTCATTCGATAGTATTGCCTTGTTCTGAGCTATCGATAATATCGATACTATCGGTTGTATCGATTCTATCGATAGGCCTATCGATAGGGTACATGATTTTCGATGTAAACTGTCGATAGTTTTAATATCGATAGTTCGGCAACACTAGTGTCAGTATCGTTGCCACAATCTACATACAAAGGGTTAATTATTAAATCCCCCAGAGCGCTGACAGACGCATTGTATGGTTAACGGGCAGCTTTTTGCAAGCGCCAATAATAATCCTTACTGAACGGTAAGCTGAATTTGAATCGATAACTGTCTGTAATGGAGAATCTAATTACCTGGATATATTTACAA